CCTCTCTCTTTCTAACTCTTCCATTCAAATAAATAAATAAATCTTTAAAAAAAAAAAAAAGTTTAGAGTCAGGAATGATAGTGATTCCTAACAACCACATGGTTGGCTGAGATAGTGACACCTTCACTTTCTGGTGGCTCAGTGCACACAAACCTTGTTTCATACACAAAAATATTTCAAAATATTAAATTACATTCAGGCTATGTGTGTAAGGTATGTAAGAAACATAAATGAATTTCATGTTTAGACTGGGGTCCAACCCCCAAGATAGCTCTTTATGTATGTGCAAATATTCCAAAATACCAAAAACATTTCCAATCTTAAGCATCTTGAATAAAAGATATACAGCCTAAGGCACTAGAAACCTATATACTGTATTTCCAGTCTCTGTGACTGGTGTCCCCATCAGTCAAGTCATCCATGCTGATAGCCTGGGCACTAATTCTAAGCACCACATCTACCTAACTTCCCAGAGTCCAGTTGATTGCAAGAACAGGATGGTCTTGACTACAAGTAACAAAGCAAGTAGATGTGAGATAGGACTATTCCAAGATTAGTTAATTCTCTGAAGAACATCAAAACGCATATTATCCTCTCTAGACTCAGACTTAAGTGGGACAACATGGCTAAAAGTACTCATTATGGTGCCTCCCTCCAAAAGATGGTGAAGAAAATTAAAGCTAGCCGGTACCCCAAGTACCTTTCTCTCTGTCTCTCTCTCACTGTCTAACTCTGCCTGTCAAAAAAAAAAAAAAAAGGCATTAATCCATTCATAAAGGCTCTATTCTTTTACCTAGTTACCTCCCAAAGCCCCAGCTATCACCTAATACCATCCTAATGAGTGTTAGAGTTCAACCTGGGAGTTTTGGGGGATACAACATGCAGTTCAAAACAGATTGATCAGTTTTTTCTGATCTTTAAACTTAGTGACACAATAATACTAGCAATATCCCAGTGGATAATAAACCAATGGACAGTTTTTTAATTCAGAAAATATGTATGAGGGTACTCTAAAATTTTCATGGAAAATGGTATTAAATGTTTATTTTTATTTAACTGAAACAAACCTCTCCATTGGTTCACTCCCAAAAATGCCTGCAACAGCTAAGGCTGGGCCAAGCTAAAGCCAGGAGGCTAGAACTCAAGTGAGGTCTCCTATATATGTGACAGGGACCCAAGTACTTGAGCCATCATTCCTGCCTCCCAAGGTGCACAATATGAGGAAGCTGGAATGGAGACTCAAATACAGGCACTCTGATATGGGATGCAGGGGTCCCAGTCAGCATCTTAACCACTGTGCCAACTGCCCACCACTGGAAAGTACCTCATGCATAGTTTTCCCATAATATGCATTTTCATGAACTTCTTGAAGAGCCTTCATATTTTATAATTCTGTTTTTCCACAGCTTTTTGAAATATCCTTACCTGAGGTGCCTACCATGTGCCAGGCATTTTTTCTGGCACTAATCTAAGTCCTAGGGATATAGAACAAAACAAGCAAAACTCCCTGCCTTTGCAGAGCTTATATTCTTATGTGAGGTTGAGGATCAGCCAGTAAGCAAAATAAATAGTAAATATGTGTATCCATATTATGATGATAACAAAAGAGAAAGATAGGGCAGGTATGGGGTAGAGGTGTAGGGTGACAGCTACAGCATAAAGGAGAGAAGAGGACCATGTTTTAGGATGATCAGAGAAGCCTAGACACACCGGGTTCTAGTCCCGGTGGGGGCGCCAGATTCTGTCCCGGTTGCCCCTCTTCCAGGCCAGCTCTCTGCTGTGGCCAGGGAGTGCAGTGGAGGATGGCCCAGGTGCTTGGGCCCTGCACCCCATGGGAGACCAGGAAAAGCACCTGGCTCCTGGCTCCTGCCATCGGATCAGCGCGGTGCGCCGGCCGCAGCGCGCCGGCCGCGGCGGCCATTGGAGGGTGAACCAACAGCAAAAGGAAGACCTTTCTCTCTCTTTCTCTCTCACTGTCCACTCTGCCTGTCAAAAAAAAAAAATCTTAAACAGCTTAAAATCTCAGTAGTGTTGAAATACATAATGCTTTTTATTACATATTCACAGATATACTTAATTGCACGTTCCATTCTTTTGTTGCTGTCAATAAAAGACTTTATAAACTATGATATGGAGTAGACTTAGTTTGTTCTAAAAATGATGGTAGAATGATATTGATTCATTGTACCACCTGGAAATAAGAAATAGAGTTGAGCCATATCAAAAGAAAACTGTAGAGCAATGTTTTGTAGCTGCAGAAAATGAAGACCAAACCTGGGTAGTAATAATGAGGAGGAATGGGTTTGATCTGAACTTCTGGGTAGCCACAGAAGGGGTTCATGTGGGAAAGAGCTATGGGAAAGAGAGGAAGTGGGTTCCATAAAGAGAGATTCGGCTCAAGAATGATAAGCAGAGTAAATGTTGTGGAAGGTGATGAAAGAGAAGGGACTTATACTGAAGAAAGTTGTGATTCACTCAAATCATTCTAGCTCTTGCATGGAGAGTGAGAACTCAATAACCTGCAGCTGTCTGCAGTTCTCTGCAGTTCCCAGTGGTCACTTCATGAGCCAGAATAGAGGGAGGAGAGTCTGACGCTTTCTTTTTGTGTATACAGATGATCATTGTGGATTTGCTAGTGCTTCCATACTGCTGCTACTTGTAAGGATTTTTGGGTTGATACATATTATTTTTACTTCAACAGCAATATATTTATTTTCATATATGTAGAAAGAATGTATTTGGCATGTGAAATCTGTGATTTTAAAGATCTGATTGTTTAAGACAAGAATGTAATAGGTGGGGCCGGCACTGTGACATAGTGGGTAAGGCCACTGCCTGCAGTGCCAGCATCCCATATGGATGCCAGTTTGAGTCCTGGCTGCTCCACTTCTGATCCAGCTCTCTGCTCTGGCCTGGGAAAGCAGTACAAGGTGGCTGAAGTCCTTGGGCCCCTGCATCCATGTGGGAGGCCCAGAGGAAGCTCCTGGCTCTTGGCTTCGGATCAGCCCAGCTCCAGCCATTGTGGCCATTTGGGGAGTGGACTAGCAGATGAAAGACCTCTCTCTCTCTCTCTCTCTCTCTCTACCTCTACCTGTATGTAACTCTACCTTTCAAATAAATAAATCTAATTTAAAAACGAATGGAGTAGGTATTACATTTTTATGAAAAGTGAACCAATTTAAAAGCGCATATAAAGCAAGTGAAATAGGATGGTATTATTAAAATGGCAGAAACTTCATACAACTGAACTTGTCTAGGGCATGGGTTGAATGTTTATTTTAAGGAGAATGATAGAAGCCTGCTAAATATTCTGTTAATGTAAATCTCTTTCTTTTCATAGCTTGGCTTTACAGATCTAAACCTGGCAGAATTTGCTGGATCAGGAAATACCACTCGGCGCTGTTTACTGGAAGGCTATGATACCAAAAATACAAGACAGGATAACTCCATTCTTAAAGTAAGCACATTTCAAGATTTCCTTTTCAACAAATGAGATTCTCTGCCTTCAAATAAGCATGAATGGGGTGAGCATTTAGCCTTCAAGTTAAGACACCTGTATACCACATCGTTGTGCATGGGTTTGATTTCTGGCTCCAGCTCCTTACTCCAGCTTTCTACTAATGCAGACCCAGGGAAGGCAGCAGTGATGGTTCAAATGATCGGTGTCTTGCTACCCAAATGGGAGACCCTGACTTCAGCCTGGCCCAGCCCCAGATGTTGCAACCATATGGAGAGTGAACCAGTGCATGAAAGAGCTCTCGCTCTCGCTCACTCGCTCGCTCTCTCTCTCCCCACTCCCTCTCCCTCTCTGTAACTCTATCTTTAATATAAGTAAGTAAATAAATAAATAACTTTTTTAAAAAATAGGAAAGTAAATAAATAAATAAATAACTTTTTTAAAGATAGGAAATAGGAAACTGGTGTCATGGTATCAGGTTAAGCTGCTACCGGCAACGCCAACATCAGAGCACTTATTCTAGTCCTGATTGCTCCACTTCCAATCTAGTTCCCCGCTGATGTACCTGGAAAGGCAACAGAAGATGGCCAAAATTCTTGGGCTCCTGCCACCCATGTGGGAAACCTGGATGGAGTTTCTGGCTCCTGCCTTTGGCTTGACCCCGTCCTGACCATTGTAGCCATTTGGGGAATGAACCAGCAGATGGAAAGTATTTCTTTCTGTGTCTCTGTCTGTCTCTCTGTCTCTGACTCTCTGTCTCTCTCTAGCTCGCTCTCTCTCTTTCAAGTGAATAAATAAATCTTAAAGAAAGGAAATTAGGGTAAAAACTAATGAAATCTGAATAAAACTATGAATTTTTAATTTTAAGAGAGACAGTGCTTCAAATCCACTAGTTCACTCCCCAAATGCCCATACTGGCGAGAACTGGGCCAGGTCAAAGCCAGGAGCTAGGAACTCAGTCTAGGTCTCCCATGTGAGTAGCAGGAACCCAACTACTTGCTGCCTCTCAGGTCTACATTAGCAGGAAGCTAAAGACAAGAGGCAGAGCCAGATGTTAAACCCAGATAACGGGATGTGGGGTGTGTGCATCTTAACTGCTATGCTTTAAATGCCCACCACAAACTATGAGCTTTAATAACCAAAATAAAAGGTTTTATAAATAAATAAGCATGAGTATACATGAGGGGTCTTCAGAAAGTTCATGGAAAATGCATGTCATGAAAACTACACTTGGATTTCACAATTGCAGTGAACTAAACATCTTTTAATGCCATTTTCCATGAACTTTTTGAAACACCCTTGAGCCATCAAAGACGAAATGTGACTCAGTATTAAAATCATACACTGGGGCTGGCGCTGTGGCGTAGCGGGTAAAGCCACCTGCAATGCCGGAATCCCATATGGGCATCAGTTTGAGTCCAGGCTGCTCCACTTCCAATCCAGCTCTCTGCTGTGGCCTGGGAATGCAGTGGAAGATGGCCCAAGTCCTCGGGCCCCTGTACCCATGTGGGAGACCCGGGAGAGGCTCCTGGCTCCTGGCTTCAGATCTGCACAGCTGCAGTCGTCATGAGCATTTCGAGGAGTGAACCAGCAGATGGAAGACCTCTCGCTCTCTCTTGCTCTGCCTCTCCGTCTCTCTCTGTGTAACTCTGACTTTCAAATAAATAAAATAAATAAAAGTCTTTAAAAAAAACCATACATTGACCACACCCCTGAAATATTTAGCCAGCTAGGGTGAAAACCTGTCCAAATTACAGAAGCAGTGAAGAGAGTTAATGTTCCACTTTATGACCCTAAGGTGTTTCTCTTTAGTGCTTATTATTTATTTATTTGAAAGGCAGAGTTACAGAGAGGCTGCAGCAGAGAGAGATAAGTCTCCCACCCACACGTTCACTCCCCAAATGGCAGCAATGGCTGGAGCTGACCTGATCTGAAGCCAGGAGCTAGGAGCTTCCCCCAGGTCTCCTACACAGGTGCAGGGGCCCAAAGACTTGGTTCATCTTCTACTGCTTTCCCAGGCCATAGCAGAGAGCTGGATAGGAAGTGGAGCAGCCAGGACTTGAACCGGAACCCATATGGGATGCCGGCACTGCAGGTTGGGGCTTTAACCCACTGCGCCACAGCGCTGGCCCCTATATTTTTTAAACAAAAGGTAAAAAACCACCTTCTCATCTCCTCTAACCCATTTCTTTATTCTACTTCACTAATTGCTTGAAAGCTTTGAGTTCTGTCTCCATCTGCTTCAGAGTGTTGTTCTGATGTTGGAAGCAAGATGTGGGGGTCTACAAAAGAAGAAATGATGAGAAAGGTAGCACAGCAGGATAGGTTTGGCATTGAAAGGGAAAAAGAATAGTGGAGTCACCGGAGTAAAGAGATCTGAGTGGAGTAAGGTTATATAAGAGACATGACAGCCATCAACTGGAAAACATGCAGGAATGTCCATAGCCTGCTTTATCCATTAAGATCATGAATTTAGGTATATGCAGTCCTAGATTCAGACCTTTGTGCTGCCCTTTATCACTGTCTGATCCTGAAAAAGATCACGTCAGCTCTCTGGACTTAAAGTGTTATTCTTTCATAGAAGTATCAAAGATTACATGAAATTATACCTATGAACATAATAACATATAATATATAATGCATATATGACAGCTGTGTATGCCTAGCACGTAATGAATTCTCAAACTGTGATTGTTAATGTTATTGTTCCTGTTGTCATTATTACTCCGATTAGGATGTGAAAAGGTCCTGTGGCTGCCTCTTAAATGGTGGTCAGCAGGTAAAGAAGGGCAGCATTGCAGAAAGCTTTCGAAGGTTCTAACTGAAGGCTGAAGCTTTCTGCTCTTAGAAGCCACCAGCAGGCATCCCTTGAAACATCCACATGGCAGGTTGTAGGGAAACATCCAGGCATTCACACCCCAGAGGAATCTGGGAGTAAAGGCAGGGGAGCTAGATCAGCAAAGCCACATACCCACAGGAAGCTGAGGTGAAGCACTCACTCTTTGCTTCCATCTTTTCTATTCTGACTTTTGCAATTATAAGGTTTTGACTCTTAATGATTTTTACTGTACAGTTATACATCACTTAACAATGAAGATACATTCTTTTTTAAAGATTTATTTATGTATTTATTTATTTGAAAGAGTTACACAGAGAGAGAAGGAGAGGAGGGGGGCGGAGCGGGGCAGGTCTTCCATCTGCTGGTTCATTCCCCAAATGACCGCAACGGCCAGAGCTGAGCTTATCCAGAGCCAGGAGCCAGGAGCCAGGAACTTCTTCTGGGTCTCCCACACGGGTGCAGGGCCCAAGGACTTGGGCCATCTTCTACTGCTTTCCCAGGCCACAGCAGAGAGCTGGATCGGAAGTGGAGCAGCTGGGATACAAACCAGCGCCCATTTGGGATGCCAGCACTGCAAGTGGCAGCTTTACCCACTATGCCACAGCGCCAGCCCGATACATTCTTTTTAAGAAAAAAAATATTTATTTGAAAGAGTTAGAGAGAGAGAGAAGAGAAGGAGGGAGGGAGAGAGAGCACGCACCTCCACCTGCTGGTTCATTTCCTAGATGGCTGCAACGTCCAGGACTGAGCCAGGCTGAAGCCAGGAGCTCCATTTGATTCTCTCACCTGGGTAGCAGGGCCCAAAACACTTGGGTTATCGTCCACTGCTTTTCTCAAGCCATTAACAGGGAGCTGGTTCAGAAGTAGAGCAGCTGGGACATGAGCCTGCACCCCTATGGGATGCAGGTGTCACAAGCGGCAGCTTTACCTTCTATGCCACAATGCCAGCTCTGAAAATACATTCTTGAAAACATCTTTAGATGATTTTGTCATCGTTACACAAACTGTGATGGCTACAACGTCACCAGACGATCATCTTACAGGACCACTGTCCTATACGCTTCTGTCACTGACCAAGACATCATCATGCGGCATGAGACTGTGTATCTGAATAAAGGAATTCTTTCACATTGGACATAATCAGACTCAACAGTCATTTTATTTAATGCTTTCTAAATAGAAAATATTAGATGAGGTGCTGTGAAAGCACAGATCAGCAGAACATGACTTCTGCTCTCAAGAAATCTTTTATAATCTGATATTTCTTGTTCTTGTGTTTAGGTTTTAATAAGTATGCAGCTGATGTCTGGTGATCCATGTTTTAAAACGTAAGTTGATGCCCAAGAAATGGGCTTTCTATCTGAAAATATAGCAGAGATTAGTTTCTTTAAATGTTTACAATACTATTTTGTAATGTTTACAGGTGAGTACCAGTGAAGGGGTAGTTCCTATCCTGGGAGACTGACCTGACTCTCAAAGAAGTTACCTGTACCTATTACCAAATGAGCTGTCCACACTATAAATTATTTAAGACATCTTCAGTTTTTGAGTGAAGTTATGCAAACTAAAATTTTTAATCTGATTTCTGTGAGTGGTTTCATTTCTTCAACAAATGCCTATTAATTTTGCAATTAATTACTAGAGAAATAGCAGTAAACAAAATATACTAAATTGTTGCCATATTGGCGTTTATATCCTAAGAGGAAAATAGGCAACAAACAAGTAAATATATAATATAAAGATGGTACTGATGAAGCCGGCATTGTGGCACAGTGGGTTAAGCTGCCACTTGAGAAGCCAGCATCCCATATGAGTCCCAGATGCTGTAATTCTGATCGAGCTCCTTGCTAATGTGCCTGGGAAAGTAGAAGAAGACGGCCCAAGTGCTTGGGCCCCAACACCCATGTGGGAGACCCTGATGGAATTCCAGGCTCCTGGCTTCAGCCTGACCCAGCCCTGGCTGTTGTGGCCATTTGGGGAGTAAACCAGCAGATGGAAGAAATTCTCTCTCTCTCTCTCTCCCTCCCTCCCTCCCCCTCCCCTCCCCCTCCCCTTCTCCCACCTTCCTTTTCTCTCTCTGTAACTCTACCTTTTGAATAAATAAATCTTTCTAAAGATATTGCTAAATGCTGTAGAGAAAAATAAGATGGGGTAGCAGGGCAGTAATGGAGAGAAATGTGCCTGTTCTATGCCAGTCAGTTAGGAAAGGCCTTGTTAAGATCATTTTTGAGTAGAAACCTGAAGGAGGGGGCAGCAGGCCTTGCAGGTATGTAGGGAAGAGCATTCAGGGTAGAGGAGAAGAGGACAGAAGTGTTGAGTGAGTCTGTGGTACGTCCATGTAGCTGCCAGGAAATCCATGGCAGAATGAATGAAGAGGAGGACAATAGGAGATAGAGAGTCAGGCTTCACTTACACTCTGAAGGAGACAAAAGCTAGTGGAGGATTCGAGCAGAGGAATAAAATTACCTGATTTAGGGATGCTAGACAGGAAATAGTTTGAGAGATCAACAAAGGGAATGAGGACAGATATAGGCAGCTGAGGCTGTTTCAGAACAGATTTGGGCTCTGGCTAACTGGAAGAATGATGGGTTTTGTTTTGTTTTGTTTTGTTTTTACTGACAACACAGACTACAAGAGGAACAGGCTGGGAGTGTAGGTGTTAGACATGATTCCTTTGAGATCCCCAGTTAATATCCAGCTGGGTATGTCAGGTGGGCAGCGGGTGTGTCCACTGCAGAGTTCAGTAGAGGGACCCAGGTTGGAGATATAAATGTAGAAATCATTGCATCATCTGCATATGGAAGGTAATTAACACCATGAGGCTTGATAAAGTGATCCAGAGGAGTGCACACAGCTTAAGAAAATGAAAAGACCACAGACTGAGGTTTAGACATGCCTGTGTGTTGGAGGTTCGAGAGATAAGGAAGAACCAGCAAAGGAACAACAGGTGAAATAGGAAGAATGCAAAGAAGGGAGCTGCCTTGAAAACCACGTAAAGAAAGTGTTTTGGAAAGGAGCATTAATCACCTGTGCCGTCCACTACTGAAGTAGCTCTCGGAGTGACCTCGAATCTGCAGTATGCGAACTGTCGGTGACTTGTATAAGTACTTTGGTAGAATGCTTTTAGACAGGCTGGCATGGTGGTGCAACAGGTTAAGCCACCAGCTGTGATGCAGGTATCCTGTATTTTGAGTGTTTGTTCAAGTCCCAGCCACTCTGCTTTCTGATAGAACTTCCTGCTAATGTCTGGGAAAGCAACAGAAGGTGGCTGCCTTGAACCCCTGCCACCCATGTGAGAGATGCAGATGGAGTTCTGGGCTCTGGGCTTCAGCCTGGCCCAACCCCAGCAATTGTAGCCATTTGGGAAGTGAACCAGCAGATGGAAGGGGTCTCTCTCTCTATCTTTATCTGTATCGCTCCCTTCCCTCCCCCAACCACCACAGTTTCTCCATCTCTCTATCACTCTTCCTTTCAAATAAATAAAATCTTTTTTTAAAAAAAATGCTTTTAGACTAAGGCTGTTTTGGAGTGGGTTGGAGAATTTTGGAGAAGAATATTGGAGACATCAAGTATAAACAATTCTTACGAGGAACTTTACTAAAAATTTACCAGAAGGAATGGAAAGATGGGAAACTAAGTAAAGAGAGCACGTGGGGTGCAACAGGCTTAGTTTACTTTTAAGATTGAATAGAGAATGTCGTATCTGTACACTGATAAGTAGAAGAAAAAAAGGGATATTTGCTAGAACAGTATCCTTGGCTTTGTTAAAGGGATGAAGGCAGAGAACACAGCTACTGATGTAGATGTGTGCGAAGTAGAAACGTAAATCAGTTTTTTTCTAATCGCTCCTGATTTCTTAGGGAAATAGGAAACAAAGTGATCGTCAGAGAACAAGGATGTGGAAGGTAAAGTGATGGTCTTGGGAAAAAAAGGAAATGTGTGGAAGTCTTCTCTGAGAGTTTAAGAATTAATTGAGGCCAGTGCCGTGGCTCACTAGGCTAATCCTCCACCTGCAGCACTGGCACTCCGGGTTCTAGTCCCAGTTGGGGCACCGGTTCTGTCCTGGTTGCTCCTCTTCCACTCCAGCTCTCTGCTGTGGTCAGAGAAGGCAGTGGAGGATGGCACTTGGAGGATGGCCCAAGTGCTTGGTCCTGCACCCGCATGGGAGACCAGGAGGAAGCACCTGGCTCCTGGCTTTGGATCGGCGCAGGGGGCCGGCCGTAGCAGCCATTTGGGGGGTGAACCAACGGAAGGAAGACCTTTCTCTCTCTCACTGTCTAACTCTGCCTGTCAAAAAAAAAGAATTAATTGAATGGACAAGGACAGTAGGACTGCTCTCGGCAGTCGTGAAGACATTAAGGATAAAAGGTGAGGGGTAAGCATGGAGCGCAGCAGCGGCCAGTTGGGATGCTCCCAGCCCACATTGAAGGGCCTGGGTTTGATTCCTGATTTCAGCTTCCCGCTAATGCACACTCTGGGAGGCAGCAAGCAGTGGCTCCAGTAGTTAGCTTCCTGTCTCCCATGTGGGACACCTGGATTGAGATCCCAGCTCCCAGCTTTCACATGGCCCAGTCCTGCTATTACAGGCATTTGGGGACAAAACTAACAGATCGTCAGGATGGTCTCTCTGTCTCATTCTCTCTCTCTCTCTGTCTCTCTCTCTGTGTCTCTCTCTCTCTCCCTGCCTCTTTAAAAGAGAAAAAAAAAAATCCGAGAAAATTATATTTAGAATTGTAAACAATACTTCCCCGAATATCAGCTTTGTGTTTAAATAGCTCTTGCTGTAAAAGCAATGTCCATATAAGTATCTACTTACATACTCTTTTATAAAGATGAAAATACATATTTTAGGGGCCAGTGCTATTGCATAGCGGGTAAAACCACCACCTGCAGTGCCAGCATCCCATATGGGCGCTAGTTCGAGTCCTGGATGCTCCACTTCCAATCCAGCTCTCTGCTATGGCCTGGGAAAGCAGTAGAGGATGGCCCAAGTCCTTGGGCCCCTGCACCCACAAAGGAGACCTGGAAGGAGCTCTAGGCTCCTGACTTCGGATCTGCACAGTGCTGACCGATGTGGCCATTTGGGGAGTGAACCAGTGGATGGAAGACCTCTCTCTCTCTCTCTCTCTCTCTCTCTCTCTGTGCTTCTGCCTCTCTGTAACTCTGCCTTTCAAATAAATAAATAAATCTTAAAAAAAAAGAAAATACATATTTTAATACACATCAATTCTTGATTAAAAAATATTTCCCTATAATTTAGCCTTCCTGTGCTATCATCTCACAAAACATAATTTCTTGGCTTCTTTGCTTGTTATTCCCTTGGAACTAAATAATTTTTGTTACTCTGTTTTTGGTCTCTCAGGTAACTTTTTCTACTGCAGTCAACTTAGGATGTAATAAAATTATCAGCAAAATTTAATAGAAGAAATTGCACTCTCATGAACTTCATATGGATATTCCCCTTTTGTACCTTTCTCTGCCATTTTCTTTCTCTGTGAAACTCAGATAATGAAGAGTTCAAAAGAGATCATTAATATTCTGCATTATCTTCACAAAAGTACTTCTGACAGGGTAGAGTTTATAAAGAAAGACTTTTGTAACTCATAGGAATAAACAGACATTACCTAATCTCAAACACATAAAAGTTTATTTCAGAAGAATCGAGCCCTAGTTTTTCTTTTGAATATCTGAAATTGTGCAAGTGTCAATGGAGAAAAAGAGAGTTGTAACATACCCATGCATTTGCACATGCTTTATTAAACAGAACTACTGATGCAAAAGGTAAATTATTTTGTGTCACGTTATATTTGAATATATATCAAATAGATGAAAATCACATTATTTTAGAGCAGAAAAGAATGGTGTAAGTTGTCTAGTCCAGCAATTTTTCTTTTAAGATTCACTTTATTTATCTGAAAGTCAGAGTGGCAGAAAAAGAAAGAGGTATTCCATTTACTGGTTCACTCCCCAAATGACCACAATAGCCAGGGCTAGGCCAGACCAAAGCCAGGAGCCTGGAGCTTCTTCTGGATCTCCCACATGGGTGCAGGTACCCAAGCACTTGGGCCATCTCCTGCTGCTTTCCCAGGTGCATTAGCAGGGAGTTGAATTAGAAATGGAGCAGCCAGAACTCAAACCGGCACCTGTATGGGATGCAGGCACTGCCCACAGAGGCTTAGCCTTCTATGCCATAGTGCCTGCCCCTTTTCATATGTTTTTAACATTACTTTAAAATTAAAATAATCCCATCTCTTTCATCCTGTAATTGAGCTACATTAAGCCATTTGTGATAAGAAACATTTTTTTCTTTTTTTTCTTCTCTCTTTTTTTTTTAAAGATTTATTTTATTTATTTGAAAGAGCCACAGAGAGAGGTAGAGACAGAGAAACAGGTCCTCCATCCACTGATTCACTCCCTAGATGGTTGCAACGGCCAGAGCTGCACCAATCTGAAGCCAGGAGCCAGGAGCTTCTTCCGGGTCTCCCACATGGGTGCAGGGGCCCAAGCACTTGGGCCATCTTCTGGCTCTTGGCTTCATATTGGCGCAGCTCCTGATGTTGCGGCCATCTGGGGAGTGAATCAGCGGATGGAGGACCTGTCTCTGTCTCTACCTCTATCTGTGGCTCTGTCTTTCAAATAAATGAAATAAATCTTTAAAAAATATATTAAAAATTTTTCAGAACAAAAGGAGTATTAGAAAAAGAAAAAACCTGGCACAGGATAGACACTCAGCTGAGTGGTTATTGAGCAAGACTGAGCTGTCTCGGGAGACAGGAGAACTGCCAAGGCCCAGCTGTGATTTTGGATTCTAAAGCTGCTGCGATGTCCTTCCCAATGGCCCGTTCATTTCCTCTGTAATGTTCAGTAGCCCCAGGGTTAGAGCAGATGGTACAGATGGCTGACACTCCCAAAGGGGTGGAGTTCTTCAGATTTCTTGATGCAGAACAAGGGTGTCAGATGGAAGGTAGTGCTGGCCAGGGAAGACCTATAGGGAGAGAGAGGAGGCCTGAGGTTGGGAGTTCTGAAAGACTGGAAAATGGGCTTGAGAGGTGGAGGGATGGAGACACTGTAATGAGGCCACTTGGGAAAAGAAAACAAAGGAACTGACATAAAAAAAATAAGAGTTGGAGCCAGTGTTGTGGCACAGCAGGTTAAGCAGCCACTTGCCATGCCCACATCTTATATAATAGGAGTGCAGGTTTAAGTCCCGGATGCTCTGCTTCGCATCCAGTTTCCTGCTAATCTGCCTAGGAAGAAAGCGGAAGATGGTTGAACTACTTGGTTTCTCGTGTGGAAACCAGGATGAAGTTCTGGCTCCTGGCTTCAGCCTAGCCCAGCCCTGACTGTTGCAATCATCTAGGGAGTGAACCCGCAAATGGAAGATCTCTGTCTCTCTGTCTTTCAAAAAGTAAATAAATCTTAAAAAAGAAAAGAAAAGGTAAGAATTTAGTCATGCAGGCCTGAGTCATCCATCAGTGGTTAATGACTATAACTGTAGACTCCATTCTTTTTTTTTTTTTAAGACATTTATTTATTTGAAAGAGTTACACAGAGAGTGAAGGAGGCAGAGAGAGAGAGAGAGACAGAGAGATCTTCCGTCTGCTGGTTCACTCCCTAAATGGCTGCAATGGCCAAAGCTGTGCTGGTCTGAAACCAGGAGCCAGGAGCTTCCTCTGGGTCTCCCACGTGGGTGCAGGGGCCCAAGAACTTGGGATATCCTCTGCTGCTTTCCTAGGTTGTAGGAGAGAGCTGGATCAAAAACAGAGCAGCCGGAACATGAACCAGTGCCCGTACAGGATGTCAGCACTGCAGGCAGTGGCTTTACCCACTGTGCCACCACACTGGCCCCCAGTAGACTCCATTCTTTAGTGTTTCTTTTACATATTAGTTTCAGTTTTTCTCATGAAATGTTGAATTCTGGGGGTAGGGGACACTTCACCAAGGTATTTTATATTATTTACAAATATAGCTATTAGTAATTGAAGAGTCTAGGCCAGGCTGTAAGGGGCCTTTTATGCTGTTCTAAGGAGTCTGAGTTTTATCCTCAAGGAACTGTTGAAGGGTTTTAAATGAAAAAGTAACAGGCTCAGAGGCAAACTTCAGAAGGACAGTGACAGGACCCATGTTGTGGTGCATGGATTAAGCCACTGCTTTTGTGACACTCCTATCCCATATTGGAGCACTGATTCTAGCCTGGCCACCCCGCTTCCCATCCAGCTGCCTGCTAATGTAAGGTAGCAGAAGATGGTCCAAGTACTTGGGCCCCTGCCACACACATGAGAGATCCAGAAGAAGCTCCTGGCTCCTAGCTCCTGGCTTCAGCCTGACCCAGCCCTGGCTATTGTCATTTAAGGGGAGGTGAACTAGTGAATAGAAGTCAGTCTCTCTTGGGGTTGGCACCATGGCTCACTTGGTTAATCCTCCGCCTGTGGCACCGGCTTCCCATATGGGCACCGGGTTCTAGTCCTGGTTGCTCCTCTTCCAGTCCAGCTCTCTGCTGTGGCCCGGGAAGGCAGGGGAGGATGGCTCAAGTGCTTGGGCCCCTGCACCTGCATGGGAGACCAGGAGGAAGTACCTGGCTCCTGGCTCTGGATCATGCACAGCATGCTGGCCGTAGCAGCCATTTGGGGTAGGGAGGGTGAACCAACAGAAGGAAGAACTTTCTGTCTCTCTCTCATTGTCTAACTCTGCCTGTCAAAAAAAAAAAAAAAAAAAAACAGTCAGTCTCTCTCTCTCTCTGCCTTTCAAATAAAATCTTTTTAAAAAAGAGATTCTAATTTATTAAACAAATAACACAATGAGAGTAGCATGGAGTAAGATGGGCAGACCACAGTTATTCAGGAGAAAAGGACAAAATTTAAGGGGTTAGTGGAGGTGGAGAAGAGATGATGAATAGGAAAAAAACAATTGAAAGAGTCTGTGGGGTTTGGAAATTAGGTATAGTAGGATGGGAGTAGGAAGGGGACAGATCAGCCCCTCCTTGCTTCCACATAGAATAGGAGCCTGGAGTTGACCTTCACCTACTCCCACAGAATCCAGCCCAACCAGCAAATCTAGACAACTGAAACCCTCTGTAGATTTTCCCTGGGGCAAGTGATTTTTACAGAGAAGGTAGGAGATAAAACCGTAGGTTCCATTTATTAGTGGGGCCAGCAAGAGAGCTTAGTCTCCGCAGCAGGAGGCATGAGGTGTTCTCCCAGTCTCAGATACAAAGAGCTTGGTGCCTCCTTCCCCTGTTCAGAGAGGCCTTACCCCTGTTCTGCACTGAGCTGACAGTTGCAAGCACCCTCCAATACCATGTGCGTACACACTGATGGAAGCTTGTCTTTTCAGAACTTTCTAGTCTCACCTTTTTCTGTATAAAACACTTCCCCCCAACCATGAACTTTATGTTTTGAAAAGATGCTTATATATTACTTGTTTATTTTTATTACTTTTGTTTATCTGTTTTTATTTGGAAGACAGAGACAGATGGAGAAAGATCTTCCATCTGCTGGTCCACTCCACCAGATGCCTGCCATAGCCAGGGCTGAGCCAGGCTGAAGTCAGGAGCCCAGATCTCAATTTGGTGGGTGGCAGGGATCCAAGTACTTGATTTTTGTAACTTTCATCTTCAGAGGAATAACATTACCAGGCAGTTTTCTAAGACTGTGTCCTGATTACACAGCTCACCTCCAACAGTATTTCAAACTTTCAAGCTCACCCATAGTTGGAGTTCTGATCTTTAGCAATGTTTATTTACAGGCCTCCCTCTACATCAATGTCTATACCAATTGCTGGCGAATCTGAGTCCCTGGAAGAAGATAGGAAAGGTGGAGAGACCCTGAAAGTCCATCTTGGAATAGCAGGTACAGTTGTGTAATTTACTGTTTGTTTTTTGTTTTTTGTTTTACCTTGGAAGAAACAATAGGGGCCGGCATTGTGATGCAGTGGGTTAAGCCACCTCCTGCAACACCAGCGTCCCGTATAGACACTGGTTCGTGTCCAGGCTGTTCCACTTCTGATCCAGCTCCCTGCTAATGCACTTGGGAAAGCAGCAGAAGCTAGCCCAAGTACTTGGGCCCCTTTTCCTGTGTGGGAATCCGGGAAGAAACTCTGGGCTCCTGGCTTCAGCCTGGCACAGCCTCTGCCGTTGCAGCCATTTGGGGAGTAAACCAGTGAATGGAAGATATCTCTCTCTCTCTCTCTTTTTCTCTCTCTCTCTCTTATTCTCCCTTTTAAATAAATAAAAAATAAATCTTTAAGAAAAAAATGGATGGAATAAAAGCAATCTGTGATTTAAAAAATAAACAATACTATGTGCTGTCCTAGAAGATTCCTAAAGCCTTTCTAGATTTAAAATCTTACAGGCATGGGGCCGGCACCGTGGCGCAGTAGGCTAATCCTCTGCCTGTGGCAACGGTATCCCATGTGGGCACCAGTTCTAGTCCTGTCTGCTCCTCTTCCAATCCTGCTGTGTCCTGAGAAAGCAGTTGAAGATGGCCCAAGTCCTTGGGCCCCTGTACCCGCATGGGAGACTGGGAAGAAGCACCTGGCTCCTGGCTTCGGATCAGCAGCCCTGGCCATTGCGGCCATTTGGGGAGTGAACCAATGGACGGAAGACCTTTCTGTCTCTCCCTCTTAATGTCTGTAACTCTACCTCTCAAATAAATAAATAAAAATCTTTATTAAAAAAATCTTACAGGCATATGACTTGACATGAGCCTATAAGAATCTGCAGGGTTTTAATTGTGCAATTCTTGGTTAAGACAATGACTTTCTTTGTCTACAGTGTTGTGCACAGGGGCTGGCATTGTGGTGTAGCAGGTAAAGCTGCTGCCTGTGATGCCAGCATTCCATGTGGGTGCCAGTTTGCGTCCCAGCTCCACCACTTCTGATTCAGCTTCCTGCTAGTGGCCTGGGAAAAGCAGAGAAAAATGGCCCCAGTGCTTGAACCTCTGCCACCAATGTGGGAGACCCAGATGAAGCTCTTAGCTTTGGCCTGGCCCAGCCCTGGCCATTGTGGCCATTTGGGGAGTGAACCAGTAACTCTGACTTTCAAATAAATAAATAAATCTTTTCAAAAAAAGTGTTGTGCTCTGGCAGGTTAAAAGTTAAATGTGCAGTGAGACCCCCACTCTCATTATATCATTTACTCCCCTGAGATACAGCAAATACTGCAGAATTTTCCCCGTTCCCCAGGCCCAACAACTTCTACCAGTCACTTCTCAGATACTGTTTCTCTTTCAGGAGTCACATTCCCCTGTACCTGATTCTCAGGCCTCAGTGTCTATCAGAATCACCTGGAATGCTTATTAGAATACAGACTGCTTGTGACAACAGCCAGAGGTTTTCATTCCATGGATCTGAGTTGGGTCTGAAATTTCACATTACTAACAATTCCCAGATGATGCTGATGCTGTTGGTCACTGGACCACACCTTGAGATCCATTTCTGCAGGCAGACTTGCAGCAACAATCAGAATCTGCTTCAGGAGTCAAAAGCAGGTCACAGGGGCTGGTGTTTGGCCCTGTAGTTAAGACCCTACTTGGGCCCAAACCAGCATGCCCAGGTTTGAGTCCCAGCTCCACTTCCAATCCCGCTTCCTCCTAATGCACACCATGGGAAGCAGCAGGTGATGGCTCAAGTGCCTGGGTCCCTGCCATCCACCTGGGAGATCCTGACTGAGTTCTGGGCTCCTGACTTCAGGACAGCTGCTGCAAGCTTTTGGGGAATGAACGAGAAGATGGAAGATCTTCTCTGGCTCTCTGCCTTTAGAATGAAAATAAATTATATATATATATATATATATATATATATATATATATATACATATATATATATATATATATATTTACAGCAAGATAGAGAAAATGCCAGGTTGAAGGGAAAGGACTTAGAGAGTCCCAAGTTACATAAGCAGGATGTATTTGACAGAATGAAAAGAAAGGTGATGTAATGTGATAAAAATTTCACCACCTTAGTAGTAACTATGAAATTTCCTGATTTATGATCAGTGAATCTTTTGTACTTTTAAACCATTCCATTTTCTCTGTCCATTCAGCTTTTAAATATTCTGAATTCCTTCTCCCTTCCCATCCCCCCATCTCTCCCTCTCTCTGCAAATATTTACATACATATGATGGAGAAAAAGAGAGACAGCATCATGAAATGATATTTGTATCACACAATTTTTTTTAGCCAGATTTATAGAAAGAATATAAAGCACACTTATTCTTAAACACCTTTGCAGTCTAGCTCCTGTCTTTTCTCCCTTGGTGATATCTCCGGTTACATGATCATCAAATCCTCTGGGCATTTACCTGTCCTCATCTGACATGGATACTTATTCTTTCCTGAAGTTTTTCTTCCATTGGCTCCCACTTGTCTACCTTTTCCTTTCCTAGCTTTATGGAGACTTCTCCATCTTCTCCCAACTTCCCCTTAAAACCACAGGTTCCATCTTCTCCCTTTCCGGAGCAATATCATCTATACACTTGGATTTAACTACCAATGAGTGTAAATTCACAAATTGTGTTGCCTCTGGACCTCCCCCCTGAATACCAGGTACAAATTTCCGAATGCTTTTTGAAAGAGCCAGTTTGTGTACATGTTTTTTTGTTTTGTTTTTTAAAGATTTATTTATTTGAAAGGCAGAGTTACAGAGAGGCACAGAGAGAGAGAAGTCTTCCATCCACTGATTCACTCCCCAAATAGCTGCAATGGCCAGAGCTGGGCCTATGCAAAGCCCTTCATCTGGGTCCCCCACAAGGGTGGCAGGGTCCCAAGGACTTGGGCCATTGTACTGCTTTCCCAGGCCATAGCAGAGAGCTGGATCAGAAGTGGAGCAGCTGGCACTAGAACTGGCGCCCTATGGGATGCCTGCACTGCAGGTGGTGGCTTTACCCACTACGCCACAGCGCTGGCCCCTACATGTTACATTGCAGTCTGTCTGTTTATCTTTCTCCCTCTCCAGACTCTAAGTTCTTTGTGATCAGGTCTCACTTGTCATTGTATCCTCAGCATAATGAAATTCACTGAATTTAGATTTTTTTAAATAAAAACATTATGAATTTATTAAAGGGGATAACAAAATTGGTCAAGAGGGAGATAGGTACTAAGGTGGAGGGGGGAAAGGTCACCACAAAATGCCACTAAGCATGTAAGTGGCATAATTTTTATTTGTTTACTTTTATTTGAAAGGTAGAAAGAGAATTCCTGTTCTCTGGCTTAATCCACTAACGCCCATAATGGCTAGGACTGGTGTGGGCCAAAGCCCAGAGCCACGAGCTCAGTCCATCCACTTGAGCCGTTACCTGCTGCCTCTCAGAATCTGCACCAGCAGGAAGCTGGAATTGGGAGCTGAGCACCAAACCCAGGCACCCAAGTATGGGACATATGCATCCCAACCAGTGTCTTACTAGGCTGAACACCCACCTTGGCACAATTTCTAAAGGAATAATAAACTTCTGGCACAGAAAAATGATTTTTAAAGAATTGACTTTTACGTGTTTATCCATACATTAAGAAGTTTTGTGGACTTCTAGCCTAGTGACTAGAGTTCAGGCTGTGTCACAGGTGAATAAAGAGCTCTCCCTATTGAAGGTAAAAGACTCCCCCTCCTTCAAATATTCTTCAAAAGTAAGTCCTTTCAGTGGCAGAGCCCCTTGCTGATCTCAAAGTGTTTCCCTAGTCCTTTTTGGTAGTTCAGTGGGAACTTTCCTTGGAACATTTGTTGGAACATGGGGAGTATTCAAACCTTGAGAGAACCCAGCAATCCCTTTGTAGCTTGGAACTAGAATTGGTAGGAATTTTTCCAAATAGGGCAGTAACGTCTCTAGCCCAGGTCAGCCCTATATGAGAGTCTTCAAGTTCAGAAGTGCCAATGTAATTCTCTCTAAGGAAACCAGTCAGATTCTCACCCTGTCAAGACTTTCCAGCTCTGTGTAGGCCTAGGCGGATTGGCAGTTGCTCAGGGGGCCCAGGATCCTGCCTGTTCTCATGTCAGAATATTTTCTGGTCTGATTTTTTAAATAAATGTTGTAAGAATTGGCTCAAGCAAATCGTGGGAGCTAACAGCCTGTAATTTTTTGTAGGCTTGTCTGGCAAGATAGAAATCCAGGTAAAAGTTGATGCAGCAGAGGCAGGATGGGTAGGGAATTACTCAAACTCTGTCATCTAAATTGTTAGGATTCCTGGAAACCTTCCTAAAACTGAAATTCAGAGATCCCAAAGTGATCTTTCCAAAACACAGATCTGGTTGTGTCACACCCTCACGTAGACCCACTGAACTGATTCCTTCCTTAGGCTCGTGGAAGGCCCTGTGTCAGCAGGCACCCGCCAATCTCACCATCCTCTTTTCCCCTCAGTTATCTACACCACCACCCTGTTTGCCAACATAGCAAGCTGCTTCTCTGCAGAAAGGCATCCTCTCTCCTATGCCAGTGCCTCTGCCTTCCTCATCTAGCTGAGAAATTACTTACATCGTTAAAGTCTGGAGAGTAAACCTCCTCCACAAGGTCTTTCCTCCACTTAAAGTTTTTATTTAATTATTTGAAAGGCAGAGGGGCAAAGATAGAGATCTACTAACTGTTTCACTCCCCAAATGCCTGCAACATCTGGGGCTGGGCCAGTCTAAAACCAGGAGCCAGGAACTCAGCTGAGCTGGATGGCAAGAACCCAAGTACTTGGGCTATCATCTAGTGCCTCCCAGGTGCATTAGCAGGAAGCTGGTTCAGAAGTGGAGACAGGATTCAATCCCAAGCACTACAGTAGGGGATGTGGTCTGCCAAGCAGTGGCTTACCCCACTGTGCCACGTCGCCATCCCCACCCAGCGCGTGTATTTTAATACTTGCCATATCGTATTTTTTCTTAAAGATTTATTTATTTATTTGAAAGTTAGGGTTATAGAGAGGCAGAGGCAGAAAGAGAGAGAGGTCTTCCAGCTGGTTCACTCCCCAAATGGCCACAACAGTTGAAGCTGGATCAATCTGAAGCCAGGAGCCTGGAGCTTCTTCTGGGTCTCCCACTTGGGTACAAGGGCCTAAGGACTTAGGCCATCTTCTACTGATTTCCCAGGCACATTAGCAGGGTGCTGTATTGGAAATGGAGCAGCTGGGACTCCAGCTGGTACCCATACGGGATGCCAGTGCTGCAGGTGGTGGCTTTACCACTATGCCTCAGCACCGGCCCTCCATTTTGTATTATAACTACTTACTTCTGCCTTATTTATATATTTTGTCTTACGTATTTTTCACCTGCTATACTTTGTACAGTATCGGGCACCTAACTTGGTGTGAGAGCTTAATAAATATTTATTGAATGAATAGACTTTTTGAAAACCAGACGATAAAGGGGTGAGTTAAGATCTGATCCAAAGCAGGAGTAAAGAATTAAGTCTATTTAATTCTTGATATGAACCAATTCTCTGATATCAGATTTTTGTTGGGGTGTGAACCTTGGATTTGGGACCAGATGTTTGGGATACGTAGGGTCTATCTGAAAATGAGAAACCTTGCAGAAGGGCCAGACCACTCCAGGAGCTTACTTGTTTGGCAGCATTTATCGTTCAAATGCACTCAATAGCATTCCTAGAACTGCTGTAACAGCTGTATTACTCAGTTGCTTTCCTTTTGCTTCTGAGCTAAAAGTGGTTCTAGCTTCCAAATATTTCACCCTAATGAAAATGATCACACTCTGTATTCTTTGGAAGGGCCCTAGTTCTGGACACATGTAACTGCATCTAAACCATGCAGTTGATCAGAGAACTACCATAAATGCCATGGCACTAATTTTTGGTACTTTTTTTTTTTTTTTTTTTTTTTTTTGGACAGGCAGAGTGGACAGTGAGAGAGAGAGAGAGAGAGAAAGGTCTTCCTTTGCTGTTGGTTCACTCTCCAATGGCTGCCGCGTGCTGATCCGATGGCAGGAGCCAGGTGCTTCTCCTGGTCTCCCATGGGGTGCAGGGCCCAAGGACTTGGGCCATCCTCCACTGCACTCCCTGGCCATAGCAGAGAGCTGGCCTGGAAGAGGGGCAACCGGGACAGAATCCGGCGCCCCGACCGGGACTAGAACCCGGTGTGCTGGCGCCGCAAGGCAGAGGATTAGCCTAGTGAGCCGCGGCGCCGGCCCTAATTTTTGGTACATTTACTTTGACACTGAATATTAGTCAATTTCTTAAGAACTTTTACTCTCAGTGCTACATTCCATGCTGAGTTGATTTAAGCCACAGATATTGCCCAAATTATAGGTTACCATTAGCAACACTAGCATTAAACTAATTCATGGAGCTTTTGTTGTAATGCAGTATGTAAAGCTGCCACCTGTGATGTTTGGCATCCCATGTAAGCACCAGTTCAAGTCCCAGATGCTGCACTTCAGATCCAGTTCCCTGCTAATGCTCCTGGGAAAGTAGTGGAAGATGGCCCAGGGGTTTGGGCACCTGCCACCTCATGTGGGAGAACCAGTGGAATTCCAGGTTTTGTCCTGGCCTAGCCCCAGCTGTTGAGGCCATTTGGAGAGTGGATCAGCAGATGTCTCTCCCTCTCTTTCTGTAACTCTGCCTTTCAAATAAATGTTTTTTAAAAAATTTAAAGTAATAAAGTGCTTTTTAGTTTACTGCTGTGATAGATTTTTGAGAAAGCAGGATTTCTTTAAAAACCATACTAAAACCTGGCAATTTTATTATAACATAATAATTATACTAAATAAAAAATGCAGGGCATTTTTTGAAGCTATTTGGGGAGTTAAATCAGCAGATGGAAGATCTCTCTCTCTCTCTCTCTGTAACTCTGCCTTTCAAATAAATAACTAAATCTTAAAAAATACTAAAACCCAATTCATTTTTTAAAGAAATATTGAACATAAAAACTGTAATAGTTTTAAGAGAAGAGTGCTGTTAAATGTTATAAAAAATACTGCAGTTCCTCAGTGAACAATCTGTTGTACTTAAAAGATCTATCACTTTGTATCTTATTTTTTCTTGAAAATGAACTTGACAGTTTATAAAAGCTGCAGATTAAAATGCAAATTGACCATTAACTTGTTGGCAGTAATAGTAACATCATGGTGTGACATATTGCAGATCTTTCAGCAAAGAGTACCTCTGTTCCAGATGAACTCGGTGCCTGTGGACATTCTAGAACATCAAGCTATGCAAGCCAGCAGTCAAAAGTATCAGGTAGAGGCTAACATTGAATTGAATTCTTTATTGTTCCAAAAGGACTAGGAACTGCTATGGTGTGGGAGAAAGATGTTAAGTTGCAGGGGATTTGATTTCAGTATTATATCCAAAGTGGTTTTCTCCTACAGGGTATAGTTCATGTCACTCCCGGTCATCTAGTTTCTCAGAGCTGTGCCACAGGAGAAATACCTCGGTGGGAAGTACATCAACAGGAATTGAAAGTATTCTAGAGCCATGTGATGAGATTGAGCCAAAAGTAGCTGAACCCAATCTTGATACAACTGATAAAGAAGATACAGCTTCAGAAAAACTTAACAGGTATCCTTTTATTTTAAAGGATAAATTTAAATTAAACACACACACACACACACACACAAAAAAAACCTTTGTTTTCATAACATAATAAAAAGGTGGAAAAAATTTAATTCTTTCCAAAGATGTCCAGTGAAACAAGATTCTGTGGAATCTCAGCTGAAGCGAGTTGATGACACCAGAGTGGATGCCGATGATATTGTGGAGAAAATACTACAGAGTCAAGACTTCAGCCTGGATTCCAGTGCAGAAGGTGTGTAGATAACTATTAAGTGAAAATTCCTATAATCCAGGTGGTCAGCGGTAAAGAGGCAGCTGCTTATTTGTAAAATCATTTTATGCCCATAAAAATCTCAAGGTAAAAAAAATTCTCCAGATAACTTGTAGCTTATTTGTTTCTGAGAATAAATATTCCATTTGGAAAACCAGAAAACTTCAGTTAGAAGAGATCAATTTTAAAGAAAACTTTTATTATCTTTCTTAATAATGGCTCTCTCTTCGCTGTGTCTGCATCTGTTGTAAACGCTACAAGTCACTGTTACAAATTGGAGGGTTGGAGTGGTGGTCTTGGAACAATGGTAAAAATGGAATCCTTCATTCCCTCTTTAGCTCTTTCCCCAGAACTGAAAATTTATATGCCACCAATTTGAAAGGTGTAATTATTCTTTCCAGAGTAAACATAGAGTACTTAACAGTGGACCTAGTCTCATTATGTAACTTGTTATAAAGAGAAATAATTAAACCTTACTTGTTTTGCAAATTTGTAGGAAGAGCTGTCCTTGTTACTCAGTTAGAAGAAAGAACTTTCGGGGAGTTGAAGGGAAATAACTGCTATAAAACATGCATTTCATTTTAATTTTGAAGTTTTTTATTTCTTTAACAAGCTGTGTAAAATATGAATTACAATATGAATATTATATGATAATTACTAATTACACCTATAACAAACATTTTAAATGTGTGTTGCAGAAGAAGGACTGAGGTTGTTTGTGGGTCCTGGGGGAAGTACAACCTTTGGCAGTCATCATCTTCCAAATAGGTACGTAGTCCAATCAGTATCTTATTGAAATATATACTAACTTAAGAACAATGCTCATGAGTAGAGGATGAATATTTCACTTTTTTAGTAGACTGGTGCTAGATAATACAAATACTAGTAGTTACTAAGAGAAGAGTTGAGGTTCAGTTTTCCTCATTCAGGGTATCTATCTTTTTTTAAAATTTAATTAATTTATTTGATAAGCAAAGGAATAGAAAGTGAGGCAGAAAGGCAAAGAGAGAACAAGCTCCCATCTGCTGGTTCATGGCCCAAATTCCTGTGATGGCCAGAGCTGAGCTAAAGCCAAAGCCAGAACCCAGGAACCCAGTCCAGGTCTCCTACATGAATGGCAGTAACCCAATCACTTGAGCCATCACTACCGCCTCTCAGGATTTGCACCAGCTGGAAGCTGGAATCAGGTGAGCATTAAATCCAGGCACTCTGATAGAGGGTGCAGGCATCTTACCTGCTAGGCCAAACACCTGTCCTGGCTATTTTCAGCCACTTATCTGTTGTGAACATTTAAACAGCCACTCAGTGACATAAACTGATACTAACCTTTCTTGTACCCTCCTTTACCTATCCCATAGACTTTAACATCCATACTAAGAAAAGTTCTGAAAACCAAACATCATTTGATACTTATTCAGATTCCGATGAAGACAGCTTGCCCCTCTGGTTCTCAGAACTGTATCAAATGGTAGTGAGTCCAGATGCTGAGAACACCTTGGGAATTATGGTCACTTCCTGGCTTGCCCACTGCCTGGTTTCTGCCTTTCTGTGTTCTCCTGATAGTTACTCTTTCTACACATGATTCACGTACAGTCCCTACACAACCACTGAATAAGGCAGAGTTGAAGAGATTGGAGCCCCTTGGACTAAGACAGTTATATTATTCTCATGCCCAAAGCCTGAAAGAATTTTTCAATCATTTCTCCTACCAACAGTCATTTTAAGGAGTCCCTCCTATATGTAGAATCCTGCAAGGTCCAAAAGATACAACAGTAGAGTCTAACAGCAAACACCTAACATCAGCTAACTACAGTCAGATATGATAAGTAGCTAAGAGGGGGAGATACAAAAATGCTATGAGGGAGTAATTTGAAAAGGGGTCTGTAGATGTGGTACAGTTTAGAGCTTTCATTAACTGTCATTGACTCCTCTGCTTACTAAGTTCAGTTGACTGTTTATTGAACCAACTTGTAGACAGAGATGCAAGCAGGAAGGATCCAGCTCTGCCCTCAGCTAGCACACGGAGTTGGCAAATGGAGGCTATGAGCCAAGCTGACCCACTCTTTGTAACGTTTCCTTGGAACACGACAGTGCCTGCTTATTTTTGTTGCCTGTGGCTGCTTTCACTCTACAGAGTTGAGTAATCCAGCAGAGACCGTATGACCCACACAGTCTAATTATTTACTGTTTGATCCTTTCTAGCAGATGAGATAGACAAAGAATTGTAATAATATGGGAAGTGCTGCAATACAGAGAAGTACAGAGAAATCTGAGACAAGAGAGGTGAGACCAGACTCAGCCAAAGAAAACTGCCTGGAATAGTGGACACTTAGAGAGCCTTTGGGAGATTGAAAGATGAGTGGGAACTTGCCAGGCGAGTATGGGAAAGATAAGTAGAATGTATAGGTATAATAATTAAAACATAATTATATAGTAATAAACATTAATCATAGGTAATTTTCAGCATTTGTTGCTTATGGAGCAGGCACACATATTTATTTTATTCATGTCTTACAGTATCTCTTTGAATGCTTACAACATAATTAATCTTTTTTAAATGGAAACAAAAATACAAAGAAGCAGAGATAATTTGTTCAAAGCCTCAAAACTAGTAAGTGGGGCAGGCATTTAGCACAGCAGTTAATATACCACTTGGGATGTGTACATCACAAATGGGAGTCCCTGGTTTGAGTCCTGACTATGCTGCTTCCAGTCCAGCTTTCTGCTGATGCATCCTGGGAAGCAGCAGCTGGGGAGGGCATTGTGGTGCAGCCAGTTAAGCTACTGCTTAGGATGCCTGATCCACACTGGAGTGCCGATTCTGTTCACATCCAGCTCCATGCTATTGCATCTAGGAAGCAGCAGACGATGGCTCAAGTATTTGCGTTCCCGCCACCTATGTGGAAGACTGGAATAGAGTTCCCTGCTCCTGGCTTCAGCCTGGCCCAGCCCTGGCCATTGCAGCCATTTGTGGAGGGAACTAGCGAATGGAAGATCTCTCTTTCTCTCTCTCCCTCTCCTCCCTCCCTCTGTGTGTTACTCTGCTTTTCAAATAAGTAAATCTTTTTTAATCCAAGTACTTGGGACCTTGATACCCACCTGAAAGACCCAGCTGTGAATTCCAGACTCCTGGCTTCAGCCTGACTCAGCTCTACCTGTTGTATGGGCATTTGGGGGATGAACCAGCAGTTGGAAGATCTCTCTCTGTCTATCTCTATCTCTCTGCCTTCCGAGTAAAATGAAAATATATAAATGAATACATTTTTAAATAGAAACAAAGATATAAAGAAGTACCGATCATTTGACCCAAGCCTTAGAACTAGTAAAGGGGAGGGGGTAAGGGGAGTGTGCATTTGGTACAGTATTGAAGATGCCACTTGGGCATCTCCATATCACTCCGTATCACTGTGCCTGGTTTATATCCCAGCTGTTCTGCCTCCAATCCAGATTCCTGCTAGTGTGCATCCTGGGAGGCAGAATATGATGGCTCAAGTACTTGAGTCCCTGCCACCCACATGGGAGACCCAGATCAAGTTCCAGGCTCCCAGATTGAACTTTGCACAGTCCCAGCATTTGTGGGCATCTGAAAAGTAAAATAGCAATGGAAAATTAATCACTCTCTCTTCTTGTCTGTCTCCCTTATTTTCAAATAAATAAACAAAATTTCAATAACATAAAGCTAGAACACCTACCAGTATTAAAAAAAAAAACTAGTAACTGGTAAAACCAAGATTCAAACTCATATCTCCTTGAGTTCAAAGCCCATTGTTCTTAACCACTGTACTTTACTGGCTTTTGAATAATGTAACCTACTTAGACAGTTGCCAATAAACAGATTGTCTGAGAAAAGAGGCAAGTGCAGGGAAGTTTGGGATATGAAGTTGGCAGGTGTCTTGGGGCCAGGTTCTAAAAGGCCTTTGTTGCCATAACATATTATTTTTCTTATGTGTTCAATGGGAAGCCATTGGCCATGACCTCATTTGTCCAGTGGGAAGCTGCCATTTATTCTTACCAGGATGTGACTTATCATACTGGCATTTTAGACAAGTAACTAGCCATGATTTTGAAGGGTAAATGAGAACAAGAGACCAGTGACAGAGAACCTGGAAGGAAAGTAATGTCTGTGAGGACAGTGATAGGAGTGGTGGACAGAACATGGGTTTTGGAGTTCAAGAGTCTTAGATTCACATCCTAGCCAGACCACTTTTGGGGCCTGGGTGAATCAGTCACTTCCATGGGACTTTAGTTCCTCTGTTGGAAAGTGGGGATAATCATGCTTGTCCTTTGGGGTTGTTCTAAAGGGCAGATGACATAATATACTCGGTAAGTCCTGGATATTATCAATTTGAATAGAAGAACAGCAAATATATATATATGCGTGTGTGTGTGTGTGTGTGTGTGTATATATATATATACACACACACACATATATATATATATATATATATATATATATATATATAATTCCAACCAAAGGGAATTTGGATGGTGAATGATAAAAACCAGGCTGTTTGAGGTCAAATCCAGCTCTTCTGTTTATCGATGTCATTCGCCTCTGTAAACCTTGTTTCCTGACCTGTAAGGCAAAAGTGATAAATTACCTCACTCAGGATCTTTGTGCAGACTCAATTAGATAATTTCTGTAAAAGGATTTTTTCAAAAGCACTTAGGTAAAGTCCACAGTATCTGGCACACAGAAGGCTGCTCACCATTAGTGTGTTATTCAAGGGAAAGAAAGATGATTTCTAGCTGAGAGATCATCTGGAACCTAGGATGTAAAGGCATATTGGCTCCCACCCACTTTAAATGAATGTTAGAATGATCACCCGGTCCATGAAAGCCTAAACAGGTCATTAGAGGTTGACATGGTTATTAATATTGGTGCTACAGGGAGACTGGGGAATGTCAGAGATAATGTCTCCTACTGCAAAGAGAACGAGCCATGGTGTGGACAGATGTGGGCTTCATCCCTGTCTTGGCTTAGTGACCTGGCTTAGTCAGCTCCACCCATGATCGTGGCAGACGGCATCTTTTATCTAGCTACCAAAAAAGAAAATTGCATCACTGAGGTTAACAACACAGGCTTACTGGGTTCAGTGTCAGGCTCTACCACTTATAGCTAAGTGTCTTTGGTGTCTTCCCTCTGCCTCAGTATCTTCTCTGTAAAATAGTAGTGTTAATGAAGGTACTTCATAAGATTTATAAGGTTTTTGAATTAAATGGGGCAAGGGGCCAGCATTGTGCAGTGTCAGGTAGCAGACATCTGTACAGATAAAGAAATGGGTAGGGTGATGACTGTAAACAGTAGGCTCTTCCCTGATGCCACACCCACCCCAGCTCTCCTGACCCCTTGGGATGCTTCAGGGCAGGGGTGGGATGCTTCTCACCCACAGATCTAAAGCCAGGTGTCATCTGAAAGACACTGCGCTGCTTCACAGGCTTTAGGACTTTCATCCTGCCAGACCAAGGGGCAGCAGAGGGAGGATGCTGGTTTCATTCCATTATAACATAGGCCCAGGTCCAAGTGCACCAGCAGCAACAGTAAACCCTCTGCCAAGGAGGCCAATGCTTAGCTTAAATAGCCTATCTGGGAATTTACTCACAATGCTTGCAAATTTTAATTCTTTTGGTAAACTTCATATTTCATTAATAGAAGTCAGTTGGTTCAGGCATATTAGGATAATGGCTAAGCTGCTGTAACAAACACCCAAAAATACACTGGGCAGGTTGATGAGAAAAATGTGCCCCAGACGACGAGTCACTGACCCAGGTGCCCTCCATTTGTTACTTCACCGTCCTGATACCCTGCACTGTCAAAGTTGGATTGCCCCCAGTCCAGGGCAAGCAGTTTCCCTTTAAACAAGCAGCACAGAAGTTGGCACACCTCTTCCATTCATTTGTCATAGAAGAAAGCTTAAATATTTGGCCACACCTATAGAGCATCTTCAAAAAGTTCATGGAAAAATGTATAATTTGAAAAGGCTGTGTATGCATATATTTTAAAAATTTTTTGCACTAAAATCAATTTATTTTTAATTCCATTCCCCATTATCTTTTTTTAAAAATCTAGAAATTATCTTTAACCATATCTTTTAAAAAAAACATTTATGTATTTACTTGAAAGTCACAGTTACACAGAGAGAAGGAGAGGCAGAGAGAGAGAGAAGTCTTTGATCCACTGGTTCGCTCTCCAGTTGGCCACAACAGCCAGAGCTGTGCTGATCCGAAGCCAGGAGCCTAGTGTTTCCTGCAGGTCTTCCCACATGGTGTAGGGTTCCAAGGACTTGGGCCAACTTCTACTGCTTTCCCAGGCCATAGCAGAGAACTGGATCAGAAGTGAAACAGCCAGGACTCAAACCGGCGCCCATGTGGGATGCCTGCATTGCAGGCGTCAGCTTTACCCACTATGCCACAGCGCCAGCCCCGCCATTATCTTTTCTGAAGTATGAGAGTTTAGGAATTGTGGTCCTACCCAAGCAGCTTGTACCCATTTAATACCATAAAGAAGGGGGGAATAGATTGAAAGGGACAACTGACAGTCTCTTAAACCTCCTTCAGGCTACTTTCTCTAAATCTGCATTATGCAAGAATAATTTGCAACACTACCACATGTGAAGACAATTGTGTATTGACTTAAAAAAATGCTCAGGCTTTCTAGAAAGGTACATTAAGACACCCCAGGCAGGCATTTGGTATGACAATTCAGATGCCACTTGGGACTCCCTCATCCCATGTCAGAATGCCTGAGTTAAAGTCCTGGGTCCACTACTGCTTCCAGCTTCCTGCTAATGCACATCCTGGCAGGCAGTAGGTGATGGCTTAACCCATGCAAGAGACCCGGATTGAGTTCCTGGCTCCTGGCACAGGCCTGACTGCTGTTGTAGGCATTTGGGGAATAAATCAGTGAATGGGAGATCCATCTCTCTCTCTCTCCCTCCTTCTCCTCTCTCTCCTCCTCTCCCTCTCTCTTCTCCTCCGTCTCCATCTGTGTGTATATGTGTGTATCTGTATTTTAAATAAATAACTAAACAATCTTTTTTAAAGTAGACACCACACATCTGTTAGAACTGAAGACTGTGATCATTAACTCAGTACAAGACCTGATGCACTGCCAGTGTCAGCACAAGGGAACTTCAGAATGTTCTTAGGGACAAAGAATTTTACAAAGAGAAAGAAACGAAATGAAACAAAAACATTCTTAAAAAATGGAAAGAAACAAGTTTATTTTTGTGTAAAATTTTTTAATTTTAACTTTTAATTAGTTTTTAACATCCATTATGATTTATAGACACAATTCTAAGAACATAATGATCTTCCCTTCCTCCTTCCTTCCATCTCCCTTTTTCTCTCTCCTTTTTTTTTTTCTTTTTTGGTTTGTAAGATAACACATTTTAAATTTACATTCCAGTAAAAAGCCTTAATATTTCACTGAATAAAAAGTTTAACAAGTGAAAAAAAACCCTGGTTTAGAGGGAATGTAGACAAAAGGTATAAACAATAATTGCATGGAAAGATGACCATTTCACCCATATACAGTAAATTTTAAGATAATCACAGATCATTAAAACTATAGTCATATAGCATTCTTCACCATTGATTTGACAAAGTTATAAAACAGAGTTTTACAAACTATATTTGCAGCAATACTGATACATATACATTTCTTCTGTTTGTTTTTTAAATTTTAGCTCCCACGTAAGGGAGAACATGCGGTATTTGTATTTCTGGGTCTGGCTTATTTCATTCAACATGATGCCCTCCAGTTGTATCTAATTTACTGCAAATGGGAGCATTTCATTCTTCTTTATAGCTGAATAATATCCCATGGTATATTTATAACACATTTTTTATCCATTCATCTGATGATGGACACCTTGGTTGGTTCCAATTTTTTTTTTTTTTTTTTTTTTTTTTTTTTTTTTTTGACAGGCAGAGTGGACAGTGAGAGAGACAGAGAGAAAGGTCTTCCTTTTGCTGTTGGTTCACCCTCCAATGGCCGCTGCGGCCGGCGCACCGCACTGATCCGATGGCAGGAGCCAGGTACTTATCCTGGTCTCCCATGGGGTGCAGGGCCCAAGCACCTGGGCCATCCTCCACTGCACTCCCTGGCCACAGCGGAGAGCTGGCCTGGAAGAAGGGCAACCGGGACAGAATCCGGCGCCCCGACCGGGACTAGAACCCGGTGTGCCGGCGCCGCAAGGCAGAGGATTAGCCAAGTCTATTTCCAGCTTTTTAATAGATCGCCACACTGTTTTCCACAGTGGCTGTACTAATTTACATTCCCACCAACAGTGTGTAAGTGTTCCCCTTTGTCCATGTCCTCGCCAGCGTTTGTTACTCTGTATTTTAGATTTTAGCCATTCTGACAGGAGTGAGGTGACATCTGGTTGTGGTCTTGGTTTGAATTTCCCTGATGGCTAGTGATGCTGAACATTTTTTCATGTATTTGTTGGCCATTTATATTTTGTTTTGAGAAATGTCTATTGAAGTCTTTGCCCATTTCTCAACTGTATTGGTTGGTTTTTTGTTGTTGAGTTTTTTAAGTTGCTAATGTATTCCGGATATTAATCCTTTGTCAGATGGGTATTTTGCAAATATTTTTTCCCATTCTGTTGGTTGTCTCTTCAGTCTGTTGATGTTTCCTTTGCTGTGCAAAAGCTTCTGAGTTTGATATAATCTCATTTGTTTAATTTTGCTTTTTGTTGCCTGTGTTTTGGGGGTCTTGTCCAAGAAGTTAACTCCTACACTAATGTCTTAGAGTGTTTCCCCTACATTTTATTCCAGCAGTTTCATAGTCTCAGGTCTTAAATTTAGGTCTTTGATCCATCTTGAGTTGAATTTTTTTTTTTTTTTTTTTTTTTTTTTTTTTTTTTTTGACAGGCAGAGTGGACAGTGAGAGAGAGAGAGAGAAAGGTCTTCCTTTGCCGTTGGTTCACCCTCCAATGGCTGCCGCGGCCGGCGCGCTGCGGCCGGCGCACCGCGCCTATCCGATGACAGGAGCCAGGAGCCAGGTGCTTTTCCTGGTCTCCCATGGGGTGCAGGGCCCAAGCACCTGGGCCATCCTCCACTGCACTCCCGGGCCACAGCAGAGGGCTGGCCTGGAAGAGGGGCAACCGGGACAGAATCCAGCGCCCCAACCGGGACTAGAACCCGGTGTGCCGGCGCCGCTAGGCGGAGGATTAGCCTAGTGAGCCGCGGCGCCGGCCTTGAGTTGAATTTTGTATATGGTGAGAGGCATGGATCTAATTTCATTTTTCTACATATTTACATCCAGCTTTGCAAGCCCCATTTGTTGAAGAAATTATCCTTATTCCTTTGTATGGTCTGAGCACTTTTGTCAAAAATCAGTTGGCTGTGTGTCTGGATTCATTTCTGGGCTCTCTATTGTGTTCCTTTGACCTGTGATTTTTCTTGTTCAGGATCGCGTTAGCTGTTCTGGATCTTTTGTGATTCCATATGAATTTTAGAATTGCTTTTTCTAATTCTGTGAAGAATGTCATTAGTATTTTGATAGGGATTGCATTGAACCTATAGATGGCTTTAGGTAGTATAGACATTTTAGTGATATTGATTCTTCCCATCCATGAGCAAAGAATATCTTTCCATTTTGTATGTGTGTCTTTGATAATTTAAAATCCATGAGGAAGAAGGATCTTCAAATAGTTCATGGAAAAAATGCATATTATGTTGCTACTTAGAACCATTCTAAATACTGCAGCTGAAAATGTTGAAGTCTTTTTTTTTCCCCCTTGCTGTTGTTTTAGGGTAGGGTCTAGTGCTTATGAACAAGTTGTCATCAAACGCTAGAAGACAAGCTGATAAGCAGAAACTTCCCCCTGGATTTAAAGTATGGGCAGTTGATGTGTCCAGCATTTTGTTCAAGCTGCTCAGAGAAAATGAACCTATGTAAATGAAGTTCATCTGTCAAGAGGAAAGCTGATGCTGATTTCTTCTTGGAGAGTGCCCACCAACCATCCTTTCCCTCCCACAAGCAGGGATCATCATCCGAATGCGAGTCTCCAGCGTGCCAGGGAGTGCACCGCTCCCGTGGTCCTGTACGTGCAGGTGAAAAGCCTGCTCTTGCTTTCAGAACATCCCAGTGAGGAAAACAGCACTTTGATGCATCTGCATTTATTATTCAGGTGTAAAATCTATGACAATGGTGCTCAACAGGTTTGGGCTCCATGTTTTCATTTCAGTTTTACATTTGAGAGACAATAGTGAATATAATTTAAAGCCTATAAATTCCATCAAGATAATTGTGCTCCTGTTAAGGAAATCTTACATATTATACTACCTACAAGTATTATAGTAAGTTTATTAACTCTTTTTGATTGATATAAAATGTGAGTGTTCATGCTTTGGGGAAATGTTATATTACAATTTAAACATGTAAAATGCTTAATAATCATTCTGAATATAATCATCATAAATCAAAATGGCAAATGTGTTTAAGTCAGAGATAAGTGAATGAACGTGACACATTATTATGCAGTATATGTTGTTGCTTATTGTTAATACAGGTGAGCTGCAGAGCCCCCACCAGCATATATGGTATAGGAGACTCAAAATAAGTGTACTGTTGACTGTTAGGCTACCATTAGGCATCCAAACAGAAGAGCTCTTTTAAATAACTGAACGTTAAGATATGAAGGTTTGAGAAATCAAAATTTTGAACCAGAGGGAAACGGTGAATGATGGAAACAGAGCAGCCTTTTCCGTGTAAATTCAGGCTTGTCTGAAAATGAAAACCACCCTGTCACGGTAGCGGGTAGAAGACAGGGACAGCTGCCTGATGCTCCTGATGCAGACCCAAGGTTCCATTCTGCGTGGCCAGGTGTCACTTGTATGTTTTCTCCCTTACAGTATCTGAGGTTGGTTGTTTTTCGGGGCACGAGTAGAATATAACATAGAATTTGTAAAATCACAGTATGTGGTCTAGATCCAGTTTAATAGCACAGCAGATAAACCTTAAGAGTTTTTCTGATCCAAAACAACAGTTTCCACTTCTTGGAATCCCTTAGTCTTTAAAGAAAGATGGATTGTATAGAAATAGCATTTCCCAGTCTTTACTTCCAAAATCATGCCCAAGAATGACAATAATATTTCAGAATAGAATTACTTTGGTTGAAGTATTTTCATATTGGCAAAATAAGGGAGAAATTATATTATTTTTAATATTCAAATATAAAGGTTTGGAGATTTTTGAATAGTTCCTGTTAGGACTTATTTTTTTTTTAATATTTCAAGGATTGGATTGGATATTCTACATTAAAATCAAACACTATTTTTACAAGTAGATTCTGAAGTTTTTAAAATGACACTCTGTTTTAGAATATTTTGAATGTTAAAAGAGAATCATCTGGTCATTAGTTATACTTTTTATTTTTTAAGATTTATTTTGAAGAGGGCTGGCGCCGTGGCTCACTTGGTTAATCCTCCGCCTGCGGCACCAGCATCCCCTATGGGCGCTGAGTTCTAGTCCCGGCTGCTCCTCTTCCAGTCCAGCTCTCTGCTGTGGCCCGGGAAGGCAGTGGAGGATGGCCCAGGTGCTTGGGTTCCTGCACCCGCATGGGAGACCAGGAGGAAGCACCTGACTCCTGGCTTCGGCTTGGCGCAGTGCGCCGGCCATAGCAGCCATTTTGGGGGTGAACCGACGGAAGGAAGACCTTTCTCTCTGTCTCTCTCTCTCTCACTGTCTAACTCTGCCTGTCAAATTTACTTTGAAAAAATACATTGACCTGAACATTTTAGTCTAACCAAGGAAAAGTAGTAAAGACTTGTTCTCTTTCTTCAAGTAAAATTCATTATATATTATGGAAAGCATCAAAGAAAGTTTTTAATAGAAAGATGAAGGATTGTTTAAAGAAATATTTATTATGACTTTTTAAAGCATATTTTTCTATTTTCAAAATATTATTTCTTAGCTATATTTTTATTGACACTTCTGTACATGTTTTTGTGCTTTTAAAAATAATCAATGTAGATTATAAGTGGGGTCCATTGAGGACATTTGTCAGAAATACTAAAGGTGCTAGGATCAGGGCAGGACCCTTGTCCACCTGTCTCTCTCCTCCTTGGCTGTCCTTGGCCTGGTGACCTTTATGTAAGACTGACTCTCAGTATGCAGAATAGTACAGGATTCTTCAACTGTGAAGAGATTTTGAAAAGTATAAACTTCATGGCCTTATAATTTTAGCAGCTATCAATTAAATTTATTTTGTAGTAGTAAATATAACGAATATTTTACTGAATATCAACATTGATTAGAAAAAGAAAGAATTAATGGTAATGTCCTCTGAGGTCAGTGGAAGCTTGAATTCACTCTGTTCCATCCCTGTGAGCCTGCTTTGCCCTCAGATTTCAGCACAACCACTTCAAAGTATGCGTTGAGAGCTGCCTATTCGTCTGCCTTACTTTCTAGTTTTTCTTTTTAGAGCTTGCATTGCTAATATTTTAACCCTGTGGCTATTGAAAAAATCTATTTATCAAATACCAAGTCCACTTTTGATTCCATTTTGAGTTTTGAAAATTTAGATTCTTAATAATTGGCTTTTTAAATGTTAAAGTCAAATTTACAATCACCTAGTCTTGGAGAATTTGTAGATGTATAAGACTTCTGATTCTCTCCTAGAGATAAAGGCTAATCATATTTCAAAGCTGTATATCTATGGAGAGATAAATTACAGTCTTATGTATCTTGTTTGGGAGAAGGCACAGGCCAGCCTGGAGACCAGCTCCCTGGGACTTGAGCTGGTAACTGAGGGGAATACAGGGGAGAGAAGGTGCATTTTAATGGTTTACTCCCCTTGGTGATTTTGAAGTTCTCTGTGTTCAAACAAACTAATGTGGATTTGTGCTTATGATTTGAAAAAGTCTTGACCAAGAATCCCAAACTCCACCATCCCATTCCAGTGTAAAACTAGCAGAACAGGGGGCAGGCATAATGGTGCAGTAGGTTAAGCCACTGCTTAGGATGCTCACATCTATGACCAAGTGCCAGTGTGAGTCCTGGCTGCTCTGCTTCCCGGCCAGCTGCCTGCTAATGTGCCTGGAAGGATAGCAGATGATGATCCAAATACTTGGGTCCCTGCTACCCGCCTGGCCCAGCTCTGGCTATTGTGAGCTTTTGGGGAGTGAACAGGGCAGATGGAAGATCTTGCTTGCACTCGCTCTCTGTCACTCTCTCTTTCATAGGAACAAATACATCTTTAAAAAAAATCAGAGTAATATCTAAAATAGAGTCTTCTGTATATGCTTTTTTTGTACAAAACTATGGGCCACAGAGGTCAACCACTTAGCCCGTTTGTGGCTAGAAAGAAAACAACCTCTGCTAACCACCAGTCAAAACATATCCAAATTCCAGGGGCAGTAAGTTTTAATAAAGCATGCAGGAGTAGTTTTAGGCTTTCAGATTTCCGTGCTGACTAGACCACTGTGTAAGCTCAAGCTGACAGTATTATTAAACATTTTATTGAAGTGTCACATCACACTTCTCTGAGACAGACAGGGCTCTTAGGTCTGGGGCAGGAGTGGGGGTGCATTTTATTTTCTTAATGCTCTTTAACTTGGCCAGTTCAGGAATTTTGCCTGCTCAGCTCTCTTGTTCTCTCCAATGGTACGTTTTGTGACTGTAATCAAGCACTGAAGATGAAATTGTGTTATGCCACTACTCATGTGTTGGCCTAGGTACTATGCATAATGTTCATAGCTGAGATGTTCAAGAACATGAAGTCTAAAATATACAGGATAGGATATACCTGCGTTAAGCCAGATGTAAGACTGCTCTGGAAACAGACGCCTTATTTTATTCCCTTGTATGTGCTTTCCATATGGTGTGTACACAGTATCTTTTAGATGGTTATGTGGGTGGTCTGCATAGCTACTCCCACATACCACGAAGCTGACAAAGCCGTTTACTCCACATAGTCATGTTTTCAGATGTTTATGTTTACCTTAGGTATATAACAAAAAGTTTCTCCTACTGGCAATACTCATTGACCAAATCCATGCAGGAGAAGACATTTAGAGTTCATACAAGTTAATGGTTTTTTTAAAATACATCTTATTTTAAGGATCACCTTCCTCGTGTGTTTATTTGATCCTTTGGAAGTTGATACAGTGTGTGGTTAATCATGCAAATGTGTTTGTAAGATTTTATTGAAGTGATTCCATTAGTATTCTAATACTTGGAGAATGACCTTCATATTTATGTATTTCTTTGTTTCAAATGTACAATGATAAATCCTGGATTTTTTTTTACAAAAAGCAATTTTTAATTTGTAAAGTGTTAATAATAAAGGTGAATCTTACGTATGTTCAATAAAAACCATATATTAAAAGACTGCATTTTTTGTATGTTTTTAAACAATCAATTAAGGGGTAGGCCTTTGGCATAGCAGTTAAGTCAGCACTTGGGACACATAATCCCACATCAGAGTACACGATTCGAGTTCCAGCTCCTCTGCTTCCAATCCAGCTTCCTGCTAACAGGTACCCTGGGAGGTAGCAGGTAATGAGTGGTTCAAGTACTCAGGTCCCTGCCACACACAGGGGAGATCCAGACTGAATTCCGAGCTCCTGGTTTCTGTTGCAGGCATTTAGGGGGTGAACTAGGGTTGAAAGGTCTCTCTCCATCTCTCTGTCTCTCTGCTTTTCCAATAAAATGAAAATAAATAAGCAGAAATTTTTAAAGAAATCAATTCGTTCAGAAAATTGTGTGAGACTAGGAAAGCAGAAGTGAGAAGACCACTACAACTTTTTCGCAGAGGGTTTCCTTTCATTAAGTTCCAGGTCATGAGAAAGGACTTCTCCTGGGAAGCCCTTGCAGCACTGGGGACACAGGTGTGAAGTGAGACAAACTTGACTCTACATAAAGCTTCTGCACATACAAGAGGGCTTCAAAAAGTTAGTGGGAAATGGAATTAAAAGATAAGTTACAGTGGGAAAATCTTTTTTTAAAGATTTATTTATTTGAAAGGCAGAGTTGGCAGGTAGGGGTGGAGGTGTTGGAGAGACAGATTTTCCATGCACTGGTTCATTCCCAATATGGCTGCAGTGGCCAGAGCTGGGCCAATTCCAAGAAGGAGCCAGAAGCTTCTTCTGGGTCTCCCACATGGGTGTAGGGCCCCAAGCACTTGGGCCATCTTCTGCTGCTTTCCCAGGCACATTAGCAGGGAGCTGGAATGGAAGTGGCAGGGCCAGGCCAAAGCCAGAATCCACCCACGGGGTGCAGGGGGAGATCCAGATGGAGTTTCTGGTTCTTGGCTTAGGCCAGGCCCAGGTCAGGCTGTTGCAGCCATTCATCTGTCTCTCTTTCTCTGTCACTCTACTTTTCAAATAAATCTAAAAGAAAAACCTTGTATTTAACATTTATTGTACAAATTTTTATGACCTCCAGCTCCTACTAATTTACTTGCTAGATCTCAACAATATTCCTAATTGCCACCCCCCTTTCCTGGCGATCCCTAAAGATGGCCATCAAGTTGGGAACCACATGTACTGCAGTTGTCACCTAGCACCCCTCAGGAAGGCAGGGTCCATTGTTCTCCAAATCCTTAAAAGCTTCCTCAGTGCCACTGCTCCCCACACAGCCTCCACAGGGCCAGGCGCACGGCAGTCACTGTTGCTGTTGGCACTTTCACGCTAAAGGAAGGTACTGATGGGCTCCTTGATGGCCTCCTTGGGACTGGTGCTGTGGCCTGGCAGGCTGAGCCACTACCTGTGACACCAGAATGCCGTATGAGTGATGGTTTGAGTTCCTCTTGCTCCACTTCCTATCCAGCTCCCTGCTAATGTGCCTGGGAAAGCAGCTGAAGATGGCCAAAGTGCTTGGACCTCTGCACCCACAAGGGAGACCCAGATGGGATTCCAAGCTTCTGGCTTCAGCCTAATCCAGCCCTGGCCATTGCAGTCATTTGGGGAATGAACTGATAGATGATCTCTCTCTTCCTGTCTGTAACTTTTTTTTTTTTTTTTGGAAGGCAGAGTGGACAGTGAGAGAGAGAGAGAGACAGAGAGAAAGGTCTTCCTTTTGCCGTTGGTTCACCCTCCAATGGCCACCATGGCTGGCGTGCTGCGGCTGGCACACCGCGCTGATCCAATGGCAGGAGCCAGGTGCTTCTGGTCTCCCATGGGGTGCAAGGCCCAAGCACTTGGGCCATCCTCCACTGCACTCCCTGGCCACAGCAGAGAGCTGGCCTGGAAGAGGGGCAACCAGGACAGAACCCGGCGCCCCAACCAGGACTAGAACCCGGTGTGCCAGCGCTGCTAGTTAGAGGATTAGCCTATTGAGCCGCGGCGCCAGCCTGGTCCTGAGGTTTCTGTCTTACAAGCTATGTGGCCCATTCAAATAGTTATCACTTAAAATTAAAAGAGGAACAATCTGACTCCCAAAAAGACCGATGGATCTTGAAAAATTGGAGTTCACTCACAGTGACTTGGGAAGAAGCCTTTGATAATTGTCTCTATGGAGCAAACTATTCAGGGACACTTCATTTCTTCACCACCTCCATATGAGCAACTTGACTTCAGCATGAACTATTGCACACTGTTTTGTAAAGGCACAGGAAATCAATAGTGTACAGAAATAAAATATATTGCCAGTGATAAAGGTACATGAAAAATACGGTAAATGGCATTTTGGTGAAATAACAGCATCACAAAAGGGCGCCTTATCCACTGGAATTCTATGATGAATGGTGAGCACCTGCTCCCTTCCAGAGAAGCAGGATTTATGACCTGGAAGATCCCAACAGGCTGTGTGAAGGCAGGAACTAAGGGTGAATATTTTGAGTCCCTAACAAGAGGTTTAGTTAAAAATTTTACATGGCTGTAAACTGTCTGAATCTTCTCTTGTAATTAAAATTCTCTAAGGTGGTTATAGAAAAAATTGTGCTGTTGGGGCCTCCACCTGCAGTGCCAGCATCCCAATGGGCACTGGTTCTAGTCCCAGCTGCTCCACTTCCAATCCAGCTCTCTGCTATGGCCTGAGAAAGCAGAAGATGGCCCAAATCCTTGGGCCCCTGCACCCATGTGGGAGACCTGGAAGAAGCTCTTGGCTCCAGATAAGCCCAGTTCCAGCCATTGTAGCCACTGGGGGAGTAAACCAGCTGATAAAAAGCTCTGTCTCTCCCTCTCTCTGTAACTCTGTCTTTCAAATAAATCTTTAAAAAAAACCAGTCCACAAAGTATGAACAAAATCTGTCAGCTGCCTTTTTTTAACATATAAGTGAACATGTTTACAGCACTCATTCACATGCTGCCTATGGGTGCTTTTACTGAGGGCTGCTGGGCTCTGTGAAGAGCATTTGCTGACCCCTGGTGATAGATTGCCAGGGCACCTTTCAGTGTGCAAGGAGAGACCCATGTCATAGCAGAAAGGAAAAGACAAACTTCAAGAATGTAGGTTCAGGGACCAGCATTGTGGCACAGCTGTGGTTAAGCCACAGCTTATGACACTGGCTTCCCATATCGGAGAGCCAGTTTGAGTCCCAGCTGCTCCATCTCCAATCCGGGCTCCTGCTAATGCACCTGGGAAAGCAGCAGCAAATGGCCCAAGTGCTTGGGTCCCTGTACACACAGGGGAAACCCAGACAGAGTTCCAGTTCTCTGGCTTCAGCCTGGCCCAGCCCCAGCCATTGTGGCCAGTTGGGAAGTAAACCAATAGATTGAAGCTCTCTGCCTCTCAAATAAATCTTTAGGTGGAAAAAAGGAGAATGAGGGTATAGATGTCGCAGAAAGACACGGAGAGGCAGCTCCACATGCACTGGAGGGCATCTGGGTCGGGGATTCATTTGATTGGGCTTCAACAAAGGTCATGGGTTAGCTGGAAACAGCTCCCCCTGGCGAGAACGCATGGCTCTCACACACTAGAGGTGATGGGTAGAACGTCCCTGGGGAAGGCTGTGCAGAGGCCTGGATGGGCGAGGCCAGCCAGCCCTCAGTGTGGGGCAGACACACCTCCAGGAGGCAGACAGGTCTGAGCACTGGCAGGACATCAGTGTAGGTACGTGGCAGCCTGAGAAATCCACTGGTTCATGGTGACAGGACTGAAACACCGTTCTCTTCCAGGATCCCGCCTCTCTCCATCCCCTCATCAAGTCTACTCTCCATTTACTTAACCCTTCCACACTCAGCCTGACAATGACCGCCCCAGGAGGCCTTTCCCAGGCACCACCCCCGCACTGCCACACAGCCCACTGCAGAGGCTGAGCTGTCACGGCCATGGCACACGGTTGCCAAGATGTCCTTTCTCCCCTTCGTCTTTGTCAGGCCCCAAGTGGGCACATGGCTTCCAAGTAAAGACCACACTTCCCAGCTTCCTTTGCTGCCGTGTGTGGCCACGAGACTCCATTCTGGTCAACATGAAGTGAGCAGCTGTGTTGCCTAACAACTCGGAGCAGTATTTACCAGACAGCTTGCCTCTGGCCCATTTCTCTTTTTCTTCTCTTCCTTCCTGCTGATTTGGAACACACAAGTGGTAGCTGCAGTTGAAACTCCCAGTTTTGTCCTCCAGGTGGCATGCTAAAAATATGCCCCCCAAGCAGGGCAGACATCTGGGCGCCTAGGGTAGGCTGGTGCAGTACCTGGCCAGCTCCCCTCTGGGCCCGTGTGCCTCATTTAGATCATTGTTTCTAGGGTTTCTAGGCATTGTAGCACAGCGGGTTGAACCACTGCCTGAGATGCTCCTACAACACTGGTTCAAGTCCCAGCTGCCCCATTTCTGACCCAGCTCTCTGCTAATGTTCCTGGGAAAGCAGCAGCAAACGGCCCAAGTGCCTGACCTCCTGCCACCCACGTGAATCACCTGGATGGAGTTTCAGGCTCCCGGCTTCGGCCTGGCCCAGCTCCAACCATTGTGGCCATGTGGGAAGTGAACCAATGGTTTGAAGATCTTTCTTCCCCCAATTCTGCCTTTCAAATAAATAAACCACTGTTTCTCCTCCATTGGGCAAAGCTATCTATCTTTCTCCCAGTATTACTATGACCCCAATTCCACCCTGGAAGCTCCCAGAGAAAAGAGACATGGACAGTAACTACATGGTGCCATGGCTTGTCTTTCAAGCACCTGCATTCCTTTTCTTTGAGGTCTCAGGCTAAGTATTTTTAGCTGAGAATTTGGTCCAAACGATAGAGGGTCTTAGACTTGGGAGCTACTCTGAACCCTTGGGGGAAAGAGTTTAATAGAATAGATGCTAACGTTTTTTAAAACTTTTAATGTCACATACAACATACTGTAACATAAAATATATATGCATAAGTTAAAAACTGACACGTTACCACATCCAATTTCTTCATTCCTGAGAAAACAGAAAACTTCTGGTTTCAAAGGAAAACCTACCACCTTTAGCTAAACCCTAATATCCTTCTTAGGTGAAGAGGAGTCTGGCTCTGTGTCAGACTCACCTGTCTACCTGCTAAGGACATGACTTTTGGGGTACAACTTAAAAAAATTACCTGAATTATGACTACACAGAAAATTAAAATTTTCTATTTAGTGATAGCCCAACTGTCACTAAAAACCCTGAATTTCAGGAAATAAGCATGGCTCAAATTTCAAACAGATAATCGTAATGATCGTGTAGGTCAACCACCACTGCAGAACCATCGCTGCTCAAGCTGATGCAGTCGTCCACCAGTGACCTCATCACGTCTTCATTAGGGCAGATGCGGTGCAGTTTGGGGTAAGCCACGAGTCTTCGCAGGGGCACAAAGAACTTCCTTCCCGCCACAAAGGGTTTGGGAGAATTCTCTATCCTGGCTTTCTCCACGTCGGTGAAGGCCGGCCCGAAGGAGGGGAAGTTGCTGTCGTTCTCGGGTGGCTGTATCCCCAACAACCCCTCCCCCTCTCTCAGCCTTCGCAGATGCTTCAGCCGCAAGCTCTCCACCTGTCGGGACACTTCATTCACTAGGACAAGTCTGAGAAACCTCTCCTGCTGTAGGCTTGGGTAGGACGCTGTGAAAACCTGAAGGGAAAGGGGCACTTAGAACACAGGGAAACCGTCAAGGCCGTCCGCAACTTTTTGCCACGGAATTATTAACTGTAAGGAGGAGACACCTGGCCCAGCATTGAGGCCACCGTTTGGCACCCATGCTCCCGTATCACAGTTCCTGGCTTCAAGGCCCAGCTCTGCTCCTGTCTCCAGCGACCTGCTGATGCTGACCCTGGCAGGCAGGAGGTGACAGCACAAGAAGTTGGGTTCCTACCACCCACAGCGGAAAACCTAGATGGAATTCCTGGCTCCCCACTTCAGCTGGAGCGGTGGCTATCTGGAGAGTGAGCCAGAGGATGGGTGCTCTGGGTCTGTCATTTTCTTTTCATTTAAGTTTATTCTAGAGAGAAAGAAACACATGCACACAAAACTATGAGGTGGGTGTTGCAATGCAGCGGGCTCAGCCACGGCTTGGGTTGCCCACATCCACATTGGAGCGCCTGCTTGCGCCCCAGCACCTCCACTTCTGATCCAGCTTCCTGATCAAGCATCCTGGGAGGCAGCACAAGATTAACAGCTCAGTGCTTGGGCCCCTGACACCCATGTGGGAGACCCGGATGTAGCTCCGAGCTCCTGGTTTTAGCCTGGCCAAGCCCTGGCTATGTGGGCATTTGGGGAGTGAACCAGCAGATGGAAGTATGTCTGTCTCTGTCTATCTCCTGTTCTGCCTTTCAAATAGCTAAAAATAACATTAAAATGATGCTATGTATGTTTTGGATATGTCAGATCCTACTAATCATAAATTGGTCAATTATAGTGGCACGGGCAGCCAGCATTATGGCACAGGTTAAGCTGCAGTGAGCACCAGTTTTAGTCGTGGCAGCGCCACTTTCAATCCAGTTCCCTTCTAAATGCACCTGAGAAGGCAGTGGAAGACGGCCGAGTGCTTGAGCCCCTGCCACCCATGTGGGAGACCCAGATGGAGTCCCAGGCTCCTGGGTTTGGCCTGGCCCAGACCCAGATGTTGTGTCTATAGGGGGAATGAACAAGATGGAAGCTCTCTACAACTCCGCCTTTCAAATAAGTATTTTTTAAAATAAGCATCAATCTATAGGCAGAAGATATTATCTGATCAGCTTTCTAATTCTAATGTCCAACAGCTCCCAACCAGGGTTCTACCAATTCACACTAATACAATATTCCTACTTGGTATCACAGGAAAAGGATGGCGGGAAAACCGGTTCAGTTAAAAGGGAAAATGTGTTTCTTCACCCTGTGTCTTTACACCAAAAGGGTCTGGGAAGCTCAGTTCTAACAGTCCTTTCCTGGGCCAAGCCAGGGAGGAGCTGCTGTGCCCCCCACCACCACCACCACCACCACCCCCACTGATAACCCCAACAGATCCTGCAGGGCTGTCTTATCTGCAGCACAAGTCATGCCGAGTAACAGGCTTGGTGAGACAGGGCTACAGGCCAGGCAGTCACCAGGGATGCCCGAGCCCACGGCTGCCAGAAGCTGGAGGGCCCGGAGGGTTCCCCTGGAGCGAGCCTCCCACACACTCATTTCCACTCGGAGCGCCTCCGCCCACAGGTGCACGGTCTTGCCCCAAGAGCGCCCTCCCCGAGAACACTCACAGCTTTGTACACATGCTCGTCCTGCCGCTCTGAAACCCTCGATTCGGCCGCCCTTTCTTCGTTCTTCCGGAAGATGCCTATCTGGGTACAGAAGCCCACACTCTCGGCTCCGGCTGGCGGGTCCCCCACACCAGTAAACTCCACAGAGTAACCATAGCGATTCGCCACGAACAGAGCCCTGAAATCAGAGCAGGGGCGCAGATCAGCGTGCAGGGCTGGACAAGCAGACGATAGGGCTATAACCGACACCTGTGAGTCAGGAAAGGAACAGCCCGAGGGGATCCCCCTGGACAGGGACAGGAAGCCCAGGCACCCTCTCAGCTTCCTCATCTCCAGCCAACACAGACACCCTCACCCCCAAGGGACCTGCTGCCCACACACCCCCCACACCTGCCACACGCGCTGGTTCTCTCAGGACCTCATCTCATGCTAGAGTGCACACTGGGAATCGATTTCATGGGGAGAAAGTAAGGAACAACTTGGGGAGGGTGGGGGCTGGTGGCAGTGCTGTGGCATAGCGAGTACAACAGTCGCCCCTGCAATGCCAGCAGCCCATTCGGGTACTGGTTTGTGTCCCGGCTGCTCCACTTCCAATCCAGCTCCCTGCTAATGGCCTGGGAAAGCCCCCAGAAAATGCCCAAGTCCTTGGGCAACCTAAAAGAAGCTCCTGGCTTCGGCCTGGCCAGCTCTGGCCATCATGGCCATCTGGGGAGTGAACCAGAGGGCTGGAAGCCCTCTCTCCAAAATCAATCAATCTTAAAAA